TTCTTTTCAAAATAAATGTAGAGCACTGAGCAAAAGGCAGATTTCATTAAATATGTATGAGGTTTTGTTTTTTTTTCCTTTTTGGGGTTGAAAGCTTATTTAAAAATATGCTATTTGTAATACACAACTATATGTAATACACAACTTTTCAGATGAAAATATCATCAAGGTTTTCTGAGACAGAAGCAAGTAAAATCTGAAGAATAATTACAAGTTTTCAGAGATTAGAAAAAAACTTCCAGACATTTTCTTCATAAAACTGCACTTCAGTGAACATAAGAGAACTGATGCAATTTTAAAGGCAAATGAGGATCACACCTAATACTGATTTGATCTGGTTTATTTTCTGTTTTTGTGTTATTTAGAAACCTTTTGAAAATCATTTTTTAAGCATCTTCACTTCACAGATGCACATTTCTTTACATGCATGTGCCTGGGACTGTTGTACAGTACAGTACTTTATCTTTCGGGGAATTATTTCACAATTGAACTAAAACCCAATCAGGAAATAAATTAATTTTTATAGACGTCCTGTCTAATAATAGGTAATACATATATATGTAAAAGAAAAAGTAATAATTATTAATAATTATTGATATGCCCAGGATATGTGTCCACATTTTTTATGAGTAGTTATTTCATATTGGATGAAATATTGTCCTTTGTCTGAGAGTCAAATATTCCAGATGCATTGAGATCCTGTGGCAATTCAGACATCTGTAAGCATTAGCTGGTCTTTTCAATCAACTGGACCAGAAAGAATCGTGTGTCCTGACACTTGATTAGACAGCAATGCTTGCCTTGTCCAGTCACTGAAGCTTCAAATGCTCAGACAGATCTTTCTGGATAAGGGGAAATGGAGTGTCCCCATGCGCTTTAGAGTGACAGGTATACAATCATAGCATCTGCCTCCCACGTCTCAGCACGTGCTGATTCAGTGTTGGCCTTGTTATCATTCTTGATCAGGTCATTCTGATTTATTAATCCTGCACAGCATCCTTCATCAGATCCTTTAAACCAGAATACATGAGCATACACGAGCACATTCTTCATGTATAATTGATCACTTCCTGCATGAGAGAGCCTGCTTGCTTGGAGCTGGCTAAAGATATACAGTTTAGCACATGGGGGCATGGCAAGGCTCCAGGTGCACAGTCACCACGGAAATGAGGTTGTATAAGCACTGGGACTTGTGTCCAGCCATTCGGTGCCTTTTTTTAGACAGTAGAAATAACTGCAGAAACCTGCATTGATTACTCCCACTTCAGTCTGAACAGAGAAGTGCAATTCATTTTCGATTTGAAGATGAGCAATTATGGAAAAAAAAAAGGAAACATGAAAATGAAATTCGCTGAAATGTGCCCCTGGATAATTTTCTATTTGACCATGCAAAGAAAGACATAAGTAGAGAAACTCAGCAGGGGATAATCTGTTCAACAAAATGCTGCTAGCTGAAAAGATTATGATTCTAACAAACAGAGCATACATGGGGACCAGAGAGAATCTTCTTACATTCATAACCCTTTACCTGGGCTGCTCTCAGTTTTAGGACATTTCCATGGATACCCAAGGTGCAGCACTTCATCACTGTATATCTCTGGGGAGAGGAATGGGCCCTGGCCTCTCCTGACAGGTCCTAATTGGATAGTTTCTGGTTTCAGGGAGGATGACTCAACTGTGTGAGGGGTTGAGTCCTCAAATTTTGTCTTCTAACAAGTTAGGACATCGTTAGACCTATCGTAAAGCAAATTTACACATTTCAGGAAGAGTAGTCTGAACAGTCATTATTATGGTTGAAGGGTTCCAAATTTCATTTTATACCACAGTGCTGTTGAATTCTCGAATCTGATTTATCAAAAGGTGTTGTTGAATTTTCTGTAACAACACGTCTAACAGTGGCACCAGCTGTAATTCAAATGATAGGATTATATTAATTTGCTCATTCTCATTATTCATTCATTATCGTTTCTATAGTAACACTTCCTTCAGAGGGATTTGTATGGCAGACGGTCAACATAATATAGTGCTAATAATAAATGGATTTTTTTAATGTGTTATTTAACAAAGACAAATGTATACAGTGCCTTGTAAAAGTATTCACCCCCCTTGGTGTTGTTCCTTTTTCGCTGGAATTAAAATGGATTTTTGGGGGTTTTTTTTTACCATTTGAGTACCGCTGCAAGTCTCTTGGGGTATGTATCTATTAGCTTAACACATCTAGCCACTGGGATTTTTTCAAGTTAGATGGATTGTGTTGAAGTACAGCAATCTTCAAGTCATGCCACAGATTCTCAGTTGGATTGAGGTCTGGGCTTTGACTAGGCCATTCCAAAACATTTAAATGTTTCCCTTTAAACCACTCCAGTGTAGCTTTAGCAGTATGTTTAGGGTCATTGACCTGCTGGAAGGTGAACCTCCATTCCAGTCTCAAATCTCTTATTTGAGAGATTTGATTGCCCTGTATTTTGTGCTAACCATCTTTCCTTCAATCCTGACCAGTTTTTCCAGTCTCTGCTGAGGAGAAGCATCTCCACAGCATGATGCTGCCACCACCGTGCTTCACTGTGGGAATGGCGTTCTTGGTGTGATGGGAAGTGTTAGGTTTGCACCACACATTGTGTTTCCCATGATGGCCAAAGAATAAAATTTTAGTCTCATCTGACCAGAGAAAATTTTTCCATGTGTTTGGGGAGTTTGCCACATGCTGTTTGGCGAACTCCAAACGTGATTTCTTGTTTTGTTGTGTTTTTTTCTTTAACCAGTGGCTTTTTTCTGGCCACTCCTCCATAAAGCCCCACTCTGTGGAGTGTATGACTTAAAGTTGTCGTATGGACAGATACTCCCATCTCTGCTGTGAATCTTTGCAGCTCCTTCAGCGTTACCTTTGGTGTCTTTGCTGAATCTCTGATTAATGCCCTCCTTGCCCGGTTTGTGAGTTTTGGTGGGCGGCCTTCTCTTGTCAGGTTTGTAGTGGTGCCATGTTCTTCTATTTTGTTATAATGGATTTAATGTTGCTCCTTGGGATGTTCAAAGTTTGGGATATTTTTTTATAACCCGACCCTGATCTATACTATTCTATACTGTTTGGAGAGCTCTTTGGTCTTCATGTTGATTGCTTAGTGGTGTTGCAGACTCAGGGGCCTTTCAGAACAGGTGTATTTATATGGACATCATGTGACAGATCATGTGACACTTTGATTGCACACAGGTGGACCTTAATCAACTAATTATGTGACTTCTGAGGTTAACTGGTTGGATCTTATTTAGGGGTTTCATAGCAAAGGGGGTGAATACATATACACTGACATGTCCATTACATAAAATCCAAATAAAAATCCATTTTAATTCCAGGTTGTAATGCAACAAAACACGAAAAACACAAAGGTGGGGGGAGGGGAGTTGAATAGTTATCGCAAGGCACTGTAATTATTGACATGGTGAAGTTTTCTGTATGGAGACCTATATTTATTTGACATTTATGGTAAGCGTCTCAGGTACCAGCACTTTGTAACAGTCAGTAAGTTTTCCACCACGGGAAAGTCTTTAGCACAGAGAACTTTGTGCTTTCTGGTTTCTCAGCTGCATTTTTTTCTTACTAACCTCGAGTGAGAAAAAAAACAGATGCTGGTGACTGTTTATAGCTGCTGTAATGTAAGTGATAAGAGGACCTAACTTGTCTTGTGGACATTTCACAACGTTAAATGTAACTATAAACGGTTAATGTGTATTTTAATAAATAAAAAATGTGATCATTGGCAAAACTGCTGTGGCATGAGAATAAAACACTACAAGATATGCTGTTAAAGAAAAATAATCCACTTCAGGGTGGTAACCGATTCACACTACCCACTACCCTATAGCAGCATTCCCCATTGTGTGTTATTCCTTATTTATTAATTAACATTACTGCAGCTGGTCCACTGGGTGTATTATCGATGTAAAGGCTTGTGGATGGATATATGATTATATGGATATTAAATAAGTTTCTCTTCTGTATATATCTCAATCTCAAGTAAAGTTAAAGCATTTTCAACTCTGGTTACCTCAAAAGCGAAACAGGAAGAAATTGTATTTAAAGATTCCGTTCAGATTGTGGCACAGGAGCATCGCGGACATTTTGAGAGCTGGTATCTGATTACACACTGAAGTGATTATGTCCTTATGAGGTTTATGTCCTTTTCACTACAGCATGTAGCTATCTAACAACTTGATCAGTGGGCCTCATTTATTATGAACAGTTATTATTTTTATGGATATTTATTCATAACTCTTTTGTAAGAGCATTTACACAAGAAATTTTAGTATTCGTGATAATTTCAGAAAACATTTATCCTACTTGTGCTGCTGAATGTGTGTAAATTTTTGCATAAGAATGAATAAGAACTAACTAATGTAAACCTTGACTTGATCAACTTCAAATTATATCATTTGCATGCATTATTTTGTATAACTTTTATATATGGAAGATATTGTCGAGTATAAATCGCTTATGTTTGTTACATTTACAGCATTTAGTAGACCCCCTTATCCACTTATAGAAGTGCTTTGTAGTCTCTATCAAAAACATACTCTCATGCTAGATCACTAGTTCAGGGACTTAGAAAACTATATTAATGGCATTAATTAAAAAATCTGAAAAAAATATAGAAAGCGAGCCAACACAACCCCAAAAATTAAGACAAGCCTAATTAGACATTCAATTATAACAAAAGAAATCTTGCCGTATAAACAGAGGATGGGTGGTCTGTCTGTGCATAGCAGTAAGCTGTAAACTAAAGCCTCAGCTGACAGAAGATTAAGGTCATGCTTCTGAGGGTTGTTGTTCTTCTTTCGGCTGCTCCCATTAGGGGTCGCCACAGCGGATCATTGGTCCGCATATTTGATTTGACACAGTTTTTATGCTGGATGCTCTTCCTGATGCAACGGTCCCCAGTTGTATCCGGGCTTGGGACCGGCACTGGAAGTGCACTGTCTTGTGCAACCCCAGTGGCTGGGATTGGTTCCCTGGCGGGAAATTGAACCTGGGCCGCAGCGTTGAGAGCGATGAGGCCTAACCACTAGTCCTCGAGGGACCCAAGGTCATGCTTCTGAGGGTGAGGATGTTTTAAGACCGGTATCATATTTTCGGAGGATAAAATCTGGCTTATGAAATGGTTCAGTTTGCCACAGCATCTTCTTTTGATGCTGTGCAACACTTCCAGCATGTCGGCCAAGGCACTTAGAGCAATTTTAAAATAGCATTTCCCTGTGTGACCTGCTCAGTGTGCATGATCTCCTGGGTACAGTGTAGATCTTTTTTCTCCTCCGCTCTCATGTCACACCATTTGCTTGTCAGCTCATTGAATTCACACCTGCATCACCTTCTCTGTAATCTATCTCTAGATTTTGACCTTTTCAGGTGCTGTTACAGTGCTAAATATGTTATTGGCATAGAAGCAAGTCAAAATAACTTCCACTTCTGGCCTTTCGTTTGTTTCCAGCCCTCTGTGCACTTGAACCTATATGGAATTTTTTTGGGTGTCATTGAATGCAAATGAGCTGTGTTGGGAATGTGCTTTGCACTTTACGGGTGATTAATATACACGTGAGTAAGAAGAAAATCAGTGTTTCCAAAACTTTTAAAAATCCGGCAGAAAATGTTTGTTCGGTTTGGCTTATGCGAACATTTACACATAACTTTACTAAAAGGTTGATAAATGAGGCCCAATGCCTGACATTTACTTTGTGAGAAAATCACACTTAACTAGCAAAGTTTTAGACATCTTTAGTCAGACTGACTGTTTTACCACTGTTTGTTAAACTGGCTCCTTACCCAACATGATATTTGCAGGAAGACAGCCTAAGCAAGATAAAAAAAAGCAACATTTCCACATTGTGCTAGCGAAATATATTTATGGTTTCTTAAAGTTAAGGTATCAAGTATGTTAGGCAGAACAACCCAAAACCTGATTTTTTGCCACAGCAACATCTGATGGGTTTCACAAGACCACCTCATAAATCATAATGTGATTTGTGACCTTTAATAACTTTTAATACCTGCTGCTTTCTTTGTTTACTTCCCCTACATTGTCTACGTATGCATTTGGATATTGATCCATCTAACTCTATCTCCTGTGTATGGACAGATGCCGTTCGTATGAGGACTGTTGTGGGACTCGCTGCTGTGTGCGTGCTCTATCCATCCAGAGGCTCTGGTACTTCTGGTAAAAGTTATTTTTTTATATGTCATTCAGATACTAAATATTTTAAACAAGCATATCATGCACCTGATAGGTAGTTTGCTACACTGTGGTGTGTTAAATCATATACAACACCTGTAGCATGCCCAGCCTTGGTGCGGTAGAGTAAACAGCTCTGCTTCCTGCCTTCACAGATCAATACTCTGCCTTATAGGGCTGTATGTCACCTGCTGTGTGTGGACCGAAAGATAGACTCAAAGCTATTAATCTCCTCCATCTCACACTTCCCCTGGTTATTTTTTTGAATTTTATGCTGCTGAAAACTCCACTTACAGAAAGATTAAACACACATATCAAAGGGAGTGGTTTTGGTCTTGCACCTTTAATCCGAAGATACAAATGTTTGATTTTGCTTGATTCCTCTTAATGAACTTGTTACTATTTCTATTTTAAATACTAGTGTAGACTTTTATAATAAACAGATTATTGATGCTGGCTTTTTTTTTTGAAAATTCACTATATTTTATTATGGTTTTGATATGATACACTGTAGTTTCAGTGTGATACTCTATGTTTTTACTACAGATATCAAACCGAACCGTGATACTGCTACTATATACTAAACCACAGTCCTGCCATAGTTTTATTATAGTGCTTTAGGATAACTATGTTTATTACATTCCAGAAACAGAAAACCCTTATGCCCAGGTCATATGCTTGTTTCAGTGGATAATCTTATCTGGATACTGTAAATTTGTACCTAAAACCTGCTACTATAACCATAAGGACTATGATACTCATACTAAACATCCTTTCAACACACTCCGTACCGTCTGACCTAATAGTAAACAGCTGCAGAAAAAAGATATAATACAATTAATATTTTTATATATTTACATAATATAATTTAAATTTTTATAATTTCTCTATCTGATTTCACGTCATTCAGAAGAGGATTGTTCTCTTTTAAGTCTGGTCCCACTGAAGCTTTCTTCCTTATGTCGTCTCAGGGAGTTTTTCCATTCCACTTTCACCTCCGACTTGTTCATTACGGATCTAATTCTACATCTGAATTTCTGTAAAGCTGCTTTGTGACAATATCTATTGTAAAAAAGCACCATACAAATGAAACTGAATGGAATTTCATTAAATACTATATAATATTTACTGAATGATATGCTTTAAGATGAATGAATAATGAAGACTCTAAGGCAGGGTTCTTCAATCTTATCCGCAAAGGGTCGGTGTGGCTGCAGGCTTTCATTACAGCCAAATTGGAGGCACAACTGATAGTTAAGATAGTTACATAGCTTTATTTTTAACATACAAGAACCACTACCAGACACACACAGTTCCAGATTATTCGATAGCCTCGAGCAAGATCTCTAAAATGACGAACTCTGAAAGACAATATACTGTAAATGTAGGGAGTGATGTTTCTCGGATGTTGTAAAAGCTTCAGATTTAATAATATACCCAGTAAATGGGAGCTTCAATGAAGTTAGGATAATGCACAGAGATGAATGTAATAGAACATACTCATGATGGTGTTCCTCTTATTTCCGTTGACTGCCTGTACATTAGGCTGTTGCTGATGATGGGAGTGCTTTTCTGCTGCGGAGCTGGTTTTTTCATTCGCCGACGTATGTATCCATCTCCTCTGAGCGAAGAGCCCGCCTTTAATGTGTCATTCACCAGACACCCTGTGAGCACACCAGGTAAAGATGCCTACTTCCTGTCCAGCTTGCTATAAAGAGTGTATGTTTATTTAGCTTTTCTGTTTTGATCATGACCGATGGGACACTTGATAACGCTATGTCATTGCAGGACATTCTGGATTTTATATACACACATCCTCTCACAGATTTTATGTGTTACCTATGCTCTTAATGATCGTACTACCTCAACATTTCCCAACACATATAAGCTTGGAGTACAGTGGGGAGCCATAGCTCAGACATTGAGGCAGACATTTATTATCAGTCCTATACTCTAAGCTCCAGAGAGCCACAGGCTAGTTACAGGCGTGAGATATTTCCTCATCAACTGCATCCCACCCCTACAGCTCTTCATCTCCTCTCTTTCTGTCCTTCCCCGCATTTCTCCCTCTCTGCATGCAGGATAAGCAGGAACTCTCTGATAAAGCTTGTGTGATTGTAAACAAATATGGCACTAGCATATGGCCACCACCAACTTCCTGCTGTTCAGAATAGATGAGGCAAACAATATTACTGAGCAACAGACTTCTGTAACTGCATGCGTACACGATTCTGTATTCACCATGCTGTACTTGGAATAGTGAAATGATCATAGTAGGATTGACTCTCTATTGGTCATAAGTATCAAAATATCCAAAAGTATTGGTGTTCATTTTATTAGAGCATTATAACACATGTTTCAAAGATGGACCCTTTTTTCTCAAAGCTATCCTCCAGTATTATTATGTTGGCTTGACAAAGCCAACATTCTGTTTTGCTGTTTAAGCTTATTATTATTATTATTATTATTATTATTATTATTATTCTGAGACACAAAATTTCTAAACGCTACTCCTCCTAGAGCTTTCAAGCTACATCCACCAAACTCGCCCACAGACCTTCAGCCTGTTCTGAGTTAGTGTGTTATGAATTTTCTAACTTGATTGGAATTATGTTTTTTCCTTTATGGAACTCAAACTCTTCAAACTCTTGTTATAACTCCTAAGCCTTTCAAGCTACATTCACCAAACTCAGCATAGCCCTTCAAGCTGTTTAGACCTATCAAGCTGTACTTATGTTTTTTTAACTGGCCGGACCTACGGTTTTCCCGTAGCAGATGATCAAAAATCCCAGAAACTCCCATAGACTAACACTGACGCAGTGTTCAGATCGTGAGTCAAGATTTCAAAGTCCAACTCCAAGATTTCAAACTCCATGTACACACGGCCTGAAGTCAGTGTACCTGTAACAGAGACTCTCACTTCATCTATCTCTCTATCAATGCCACACACTCTCTCAACCCACCTCTCTATCAATCTATCAGTAGCACACACACACACACACACACACACACCCTCTCTCTCTCCATATTTCTTTCTACCAATCTACCTGTGTCAATCTCTCACTCCTTCTGTCTTTCTGCTAATAACACTCTCTCTCCATCTATCTACTTGTGTCACTCTCACTCCAGCGGACTTTCTACTTGTATCACTCTATTTGTCATCTATCTTTCTACCAGTAACTGTCTGTCTGTCTTTCTCTCTGTCACCCTATATTTCTTTCTTTCTGTCTTTCAACTTCAAACTATCTTCAAGCTTACGAAACCGTTTCAAACTTTCAGACTGGCTTTGTCAAGCCAACATCAAAGTTTGTTGTGATGAAATTTACCTATCTAGTTATAGATATGCTTTTTATATCATATGTTCAGTTATCATTTAAAATTCAGCTTCAGTTTGTTTTTAGTTTAGTTATGTTAAGCCCTCTTCTGGCTGGATTAGTTTTACATGGGGAGGGTGGGCTAATTTAAATATTACTAGTGTATTTCTGGGATTTTAGTCCTGTCTCAATCTGTCATGTCAGTATTTTTTACAGACTTCACATTCCCAGATTTGGAAAGATTATACCATCTTTCACCTACTATAAAATGACCAGTAGAAATAATCCCAAGTAATATATGTATATCCAGTCTGAACTGACATGGCAGTTCTGTTACATACTGTGGGAATAGAGGGTTTGTGCTTTTTCTTCTGTATGGAGACACTTCAGGAAGCACTTTTATCTATCATCTCCAACCAAAAAAATAAACCGAAATCAAGTATTCAAATAGAACAGTAAAATATAAATGATGTTTAAAAGGATATGTCAGAGAAGTGATGCTTTTAGGAGTTTATTAAGTAAGTTACTGAATTTCTAGCA